GCTGAAAATCACCGTACATCATCTAGACAAGTGGAACATCTAAAGTTAGCTGATTTTTTTTGATAACTGTCACGGTTTACGTGCGGCGAAGCTGCAAAATTTGGTCAAAGTTTTGGCGAATTATACACATACTTAGTCCGATCGTGTTGAAATTTGAATCACTAATGTGTGATCTCAGTCTGAATATAATACACTATAAAACATATGAAAAAAACACTATAGCGCCCCCTACCATAGACATGAAACTCAACAATGTCGGATCTGCACCAAATTTGGGAATTAAATCTATTTAATAACTAGAAGAAAAAACATATATTGCTGACATGGGAATTTTTTCAAGGTTGGCCAGTAGGGGGTGCAAAGAACATCTAAAGGCGTACTGTGTCATTTTTGCCATTTGCAGGCACAGAGTTTGCGGACACAGCGTTTACGGTATGGTGTTGGCGCGGGCACAGTATTTGCGGGCACGGCGTTCGCGGGCGCGGCGTCCGTGGGCACGGCGTTCGCGGGGGCGCGGCGGGCGAGGGCCGTTCGACGCCGCTTGCGGCTTTTAATTTCTTTTTTTTTTGCAGATTGAAAAAGATTCACATCCAGACGACAACGAGCACTGAGTGAAAATGATGTAATACATCTGCCACACCTGTATGTGGCGCTGTTAACAATGATAATAATATTTAATAATGCAAATCCCATCAGTTTTTTTTTTTTAAGGTGATTTTGTTTATTTTAGAAGTATCCCACAAATATCACTATTTTTGTTTTGCAGTTAAACATCAGTTTTTGTTTTTAGTCATAAGATTTGGATGAGAATTATTAGAATAACTTGATCTGAAAATCCATCAGTTTAATGACCCGTGTGTCTTTGTTATTGATCCATGTGCGTGATCTGTGGTGCGTGTTGTTAGCATTGGCGTTAGCGGTGTGTCTCGGTTGTTGGGCGACAGGAGCGACTCCGTAGGCTTCACCTGTCACATTTCGGCAAACGTCTTATGGTCTCCGGAGGCGAGTTCGAGGGCTGCAGCCTTCGCTGCATCGGAGAACCCTGACGATGACGGGGTCGTAACATCATCGTTTTCCAAAAGCTGCAGTTTGCTTGACAACACGACAACGCAACACCAGCTCCGTGTGGACGAAAGGCCAAAACCAATACAAACTTCACCGTTTCAACCAAAAAACGTGGACAGGCCCTTAAGGACGCGTCTGTGGTGCCACACTTATGCCCAACATACGGGGTGTTTCCACGGCCAGTTTTAACTCCTGCTTAAAGTGTATGTTTGTTAAGGACATCACAGTCGCATTAGAGAAGTCAGATGCTTCGAGTGTTTCAGCACAAGTGCCAGTTTTCAACAACTGTCTGCAAAAAAATAAGCTACACACATAAAAACTGACAAAACACATTAGTTACAAAAACAGATAAGAAATAAACAACTTTATTACATTTTCAGAGAGAGCATTTTTGGTTTGAAAAATACAAACATTTTAATAACTTTTAATTTGTTGATATTTGTTTCTACTTCTAAATCTGCTGGTTGCACTTCCACAGTCTGGGTCTTTGTCAGAGAACGAGGACTGAGCCAGAGTCCGGTTCACTGGGACGACTCAAGGACCACGAGTAGCTCCTCTGGTAAAAACTCTGTGTGTGCAGTTTATACTAATTCATTTTTCAGTGGTTTACCAGAGTTAAGGCACTAACTAATAATTAAAGATTATTAAAATTGGTAAAATTTTCAAAGTTAAAGAAGTTAGCAATTGTCAATCTGTGTCATGAACAGAGAGAATGAAGCGGTGGCTCGTGTCTCTTCTGCTCTCAACAGTCTGGAGTCTAGATCGTCGTCTGCATGTGTGAGCTCCTGTCCTCTGTGCGTTTGGCTTTACTGTTTGTATCTGTGTGTTTGTTTTGACAGTGTCTGTGAAAAAGAATTCTCCTTGGAGACAATAAGAAACGTGTAAAAGTGAAGCGCACGAGAGTGAAAGACCAAAATAACACATTGTCTGCATTTCCTGCACTGAAAATGTGTGAAAGGAGATAACAAGTTTTACTGACATTTTTAGACCTGAACCTGGACATAATTTCTTTATTTTTCTATGACATTTACAATAATAAATATTATAAATATAATAATAATATGGACAAAAACAGGACAGGACCAGGGCTGCACTGTCAGTCTGTGCCACGGGGTCAATTTGTGTGGGTTTTTTGGTCCCAGTCCCCCCTTTGACAGAACCAGGTTTAAACCTGAATTAAAGGTTTAAACAAGACTGGACCAGGATTAAAACAGGTTTAAACCACATGTGGTGTGACAGACAATTGAACTTTAGCCACATTATTTGTACCAGCCACACGAGCAGGATGTGAATGACTGAACAGGATGTAAAGAACGTGCAGAGCCATCTACACTTCTGCTCTTTAAATGTCTCAAATGCAGAGACCACAAGTGTTATTGCCATTTTCAGACCTGGTTCCGTCCTGGTTTAGTCCTGGTTTAGACCTGGTTTAGACCTGGTTTAGTCCTGGTTTAGTCCTGGTTTAGTCCTGGTTTAGACCTGGTTTAGTCCTGGTTTAGTCCTGGTTTAGTCCTGGTTTAGACCTGGTTTACCTGGTTTAGTCCTGGTTTAGTCCTGGTTTTAGACCTGGTTTAGCCTGTTTAGTCCTGGTTTAGTCCTGGTTTAGTCCTGGTTTGTCCTGGTTTAGTCCTGGTTTAGTCTGGTTTAGACCTGGTTTAGTCCTGGTTTATGGTTTAGACCCTGGTTTAGTCAGTCTGGTTTAGTCCTGGTTTAGACCTGGTTTAGTCCTGGTTTAGACCTGGTTTAGCTGGTTTTAGTCCTGGTTTAGTCCTGGTTTAGACCTGGTTTAGTCCTGGTTTAGTCCTGCCTGGTTTAGTCCTGGTTTAGTCCTGGTTTAGTCCTGGTTTAGTCCTGGTTTAGTCCTGGTTATGGCCCTCGCAGCACTGGTCCTGGTCTGGTCCGTCCTCAGTCTGGGTAAGTGAATCTTGTTTCTATGTGCGTGTGTGAACAATTTAAAATGACTCCAAACTTGTTTTAGATGTATTTTTTAAACACTTTTACCCTTTGCTTTGGTCGCTCTTTTCACTCTTCATCCCCTGACCCGACTCAGCTGTGAAGTGAAAACCATTTCAGGGACTTTATCATGAAGCTCATTAAGAGAAGGACAAGGGTTTGAGCTGCACAAAGCAAAGTGTGAACACTCTGAAGATCTGAATATCTGCATTTCTTTTACATGTGTATTTGTATTATTAACTAATTATATTTGCTATTATATTTAAAATGCAAAATTCACATAAATAAAGAAAATTATGTTGGGTAGATTAATTAGTAATTATTCAAAATACAGTTGTTGTTGTTGTTGTTGTTGTGGTTTTTTTTACATAAGAAACTTAAATTATTTAAATTTAAAGAGGGAAACTGTCAAAAAAATTATTATATATATATATATATATATATATATATATATATATATATATATATATATATATATATATATATATATATATATATATATATATATATATATATATATATATAAAGAGTTGAAAGTTAATGCTGCATTGGGGCACATGGTGAAAATCTTCAAAACTTTAGGGAAAACATTTGTAATGTCTTACTGTTTATTTGTAGATCTCAGTTTGTGTTTTTCATCATTTTCAATAATATAAATTATTTTAAATGTAATTAAATTTTAACTATATGTCCGTTGCACCAAATAACTTTTTTAAGACGTCCCGGGTTTTAAATGCAGAAAAATGTTTTGACCGAAGTTTTTTTCAAGGGGCAAATTCTAAATGATAAAATATACACTTAAATATACCAGAAAATCTACACATTTTGATTTTGATATTTTTATTCTTTGAGCATTTAAAAACTACAAAATGTCACCAACTCATTTATGATGTTTTCTGTTTGTCTAAAATGTAGAAAGTAAAAGAAAAACATGAACCTGTGCACCGCCACCGTCCAACACACCACATTATGTGTGATGCTCTGGTCATGTTGTTGTGGGTGCGACTACAACTACAATGAAAAAAATGTCCGAGCAGTAACTTCAGTTAAAAAATGTCTTTACTGAAAAAATTTTGTCAGTGTCAAATCATCATATTCTGTTTCAACTCGCTTCATTCTATCTGTTTAACATGTTTAACATGTTTATAACTGTTTTATAACTGATAGTGCAGTCTTCATCAGCTGAGGTTTTCAAAAAACAACATCCTCCTTTGGAATACAGAGAACCAGCGCCATCTATGGGTGAAATATGGTGCTACAACTGAAGGAAAAAAATCCTTTTCTGGTTTTAAATAACAAATACAGCTGTTATATAACCATTTAAACATGAACTTATTGTAGTCTTGTCATGAATTCAATTTGAATATATTTATTTATCAAACTGTACTTTTAACTATGTAATAACAAATGAATGAAATTTTTTTTTTAACCTTTTCAAACTAAATATTCAACACATGTGACCAACACACCACATTATGTGACATGTCTCTTGTGTGTGCAGGGGTCCTGGCAGAAGACAAGAGCTCAGGTAAAGACACTCACACACCAGGCTAACCACTCTGCCACAGTAACACAGGGAGCACATGCACACTCCACTCACACACATCAGGAGTCTAACCCACAACCTCCTGGTGAGAGGGACGACACAGGATAAACACTTTCTGACATCAGAGTCAGAGAGCCGCCGCTCAAACATCACAAACACATTTACATGACTTCACTGTCTTTGCTGATTCAGTAGAAAGTTACTCAGAAAATACTCAGGTAAAGGGGCGGGGCTTCAGTGTTCAGGTGAAGGGGCGGGGCTTCAGTGTTCAGGTAAAGGGGCGGGACTTCAGTGCTCAGGTAAAGGGGCGGGGCTTCACTCTGTCTCTTGTCTGTTCAGAGCTCAGGTTGGTGGGAGGAGCCAGTCGCTGTGGAGGTGAGACTCAGAGGAGAGTGGAGACGGGTGGTGGGGTCTATAGATTCTGGGACCTGGAGACCACAGCTGTTGTGTGCAGAGACCTGGACTGTGGCTCTGCTGTTTATGGAGAAAAGAGAGATGATTTTCCACAGAGTCGTGTGTGGAGGGTCAGACCTGACTGTGTGAAGAAGTCTTCAGTGAGAGAATGTGTCTATGGTTCATTCTCTTCTTCCTCTGAGGGTCTGGAGGTGATGTGTTCAGGTAAAAGTCTGATCTTATATTTTTATGTCTCTCAGATGTTTTTTCTAGTTCCTCCAGAGGAGTGTAACACACACACAGAGACTGATCTGTCCAATCACATGTCTCCACAGACTTGGTCCTGAATCGTCCAATCATCTCCGTGTCTGTGAGTGACGGGGCGTCCGAGCTCCAGCCTCAGGGGGTGCAGGTGCAGCTGGGCTCACAATAGTTATGATTTGGCAAATAAAATAAAATCCATAAACTGCCACTTAACTGATGTAAACCTGTGATAAATATTTATTACATGCACTATCCACCAAACCAAGTTAGAAAATCAATTGTATGCAAGTTTTTAAACAAAAATAATATATTCACAGTGTATAGTAGTAGTAGTAGTCTTGTCTTAGTATTGTCGGTATTTTGTAATCTAAATCAGTTTATATTTATAACATGTTTTTTGTTCATGTCAGGAGGAGAATGGTGAGCCAGTGAAGACCCTGTGCTTGGGCACCATAAACACTCCAGTACTGGGTCTGGGACTGTGCAGTCACTCTGCAGACAGTCGGGGGGGCACTGTGGGGGAGCTGTGGCTCCAGGATCCTCTCGTTTACAGCAGAGTACGATGTGTGTAAAAGTATCGACACCAAACCCAGCCCCGCTCTACAGTGAGTACAAGTCTATGTCTATGCAGTCTATGGTACCAGCTTTGCGTTACAGTAAGTACCAGCCCATGTTTATACCGTCTATGGTATCAGGCATACAGTCTGTGGAGTGTGACGTCCATCTAACCTGGCTCACACCAGATTCATATGTGTGTGACACTCTGACCTTCTACATATTTTCAATGTGGAACAACTCTCGAAAGTGACTGGAAATGACAAACAAACTTTTGTTGCACCCAGTTTAGAGAAAAACAATTGAACCATACAGCAGGCTCACTCTGAGATGGATTCTTGTGAGTTTTGGAACTCACAAATGTTGTGAGAATCAGTCTTACTGTGCAAGGTTAAGGTCCATCATCTGATCGAAAACCTGTTTACAATTTCCTCTTTGTTTTGTGAATGACACACCTCACATTAAAAAGAGATTTAGACTGAAATGAAATGAAATACAATCCATCTATTATGAAACATTTAACCATCTTTGCCTTAAATACATCTGTCTCTTTTGTCCCAGGTCTCGTACGTTGAGCTCTGAGGCTTGTATCTCGCGGTTGGCTGTGGACAAACTGGTTTATGTGAGTAAAGTTGCTCAGTAGAGGTTTGGGACAGACGCACCGGGAGGATGGTGGACTGCATTGACTGTGCTCAAATCATCAGGTAAATAAAATAGAATACTACCTAATCTCTGAACATATTTGTCAACCTGGTTTATGGTTATATCTCTGTAGATAATGAGATATTAACCACCACATGAAACAAAAACTACCACAAAGTTTAACGTCTTCTCTGTCAGTACAAATAAAATAAAAGTGAAATGATTTTTTCACAATAGCTTCAGAAACTGTTGCCATTATTTACCTCCGATGATGTGATTTCTTTCTTCTTTGCTGTACAGATGAAACCTTTTTCACTTCCTTTCAATATTACATATATCCAGATATTTTAAGTCCTCCCTAATTTTCAAAGTGTTCTACAATTAAGTAAACAGACATTGCAACATTCACAGGAACCAAGCAAATTGAGAACTTAAATTGTTATCTGCCTTATTGTTTTGTGCTTGACCAAGCACAATAAATAAGAAAATATATTAAAATGCTGCCTCTCTCTCTCCTCAGGCAGAGCAGCTCTCGGGGCAGACCCTCACAGCAGGACCATCCCACGGACAGCACCCCCGCCTGGGCTCAGGTCAAGACTCTCCTGGTCCAGTCTTTGGTGTGTCTTTGGGTCGGGACCAGAGGAGGTCACATGATCCTCGTGGAGCTCAGTAAGAACCAGGCTCTGCAAGTTCTGGGGCCGCACTGCCAGTCTGTGCGCTGCATCGTCCCATCCAACAGCGGTGAGAAAATACTAAGTTTAGTATCAATTTATCAGAGTGGAATTATGATGGAAAATCTACAAACTAGACATTAATACAAGGGAAAAAGCTTGCGAGTGATTTCAATGCCACTAGATTAAAACCAACCAAAGGTTTACGTGGTAACTAGTCATACAGTGAATTTCTAGTAAAGTCAAATGTGTCTTGCTCATAGACAGTATACTATATATATACAGAAAAATTATATATATATATAGAAAGAAAAATTTATATATATCTTTCTTATCTGTCTTGTGTTTATTCAGGTACAGGTGTTTTAATTGCCCTTAAAATGAAAAGAAAATGTATGCCTTCTTACTGTCTGCTGTGTCACCCCTCTCCACAGATCTGACCTGTAACTCGCTGTAGCTGTGTCAATGCTTGTCTCCAAGGAGATATAGAAATTTAGATTTTTGATTACCACAAATTAAAACCTCTACTTGTGTTTTATGTTTTTTTTCCAGAAAGCACTTAAAAAAGGGATCTGCCCAAAGTGGATCAACGCACAAAACCTTACCTCATATCCTCAACAAAACCAACAACATATTAAGACTTTTATACAGTTTAGACATTTATAAAGGGAAAACATGACTCTGTATTCTCAAAGCCTCTTGTTTTGTAAATGACTTTTGTGAAACTTGAGCACTCCAGTTTTTATGCTACAAAATATGCTACAAAGTTATTTTATTTTTAGAGTTTTGAACTTTTGTTGCTTTTTGTAAATGTAAAAAAATATTGACTGTTTTGTTATTAAACAAATAATTTAAGAAGGTTTGAACCTGTGTAGAGATTTTATATAATAATGGCAAGTCATTGTTTTGGTTAGGTCATTTATATATTTGACAGAGACGACGAAATCAAGACTGCAGGACATCTAAACCAGGTATCCACAAACCACACAGAAAATCTTGTTGAGGACCAGAATTTGATCTTTAATTTGAGAAAAGAAAAAGGCGACACTGCGTTTAAAGCCATTTGAAGAAAAAAATAAAATAAAATTTACAGACAGACTTGAGCATGTTAGTACAAAAGAAGAAGAGCTATTCAAATGGAAATTATTTCCCCCAAATCTTAAAAACACCAGTGATTTTATGTTACATTTACACAACACTTTAAATAAGCAGCCTTCATTTTCCCCACACACTTAGAATGATTTGGTCCTAAACCAGGGCTAAATAAGGTCTACACCAAATCTAAACCAGGACTGAACCAGGTCTAAACTAGATCTGAACCTGGACTAAATCTGGTCTAAACCCGGTTTGAACCAGATCTGAACCAGGACTAAACTAGGTCTAAACCAGGACTAAACCAGGCCTAAACCAGGACTAAACTGGGTCTAAACCAAATCAGATCTAAACCAGGTCTGAAACAGGTCTAAACCATACAGAATTCTTTAAATAAACCTTCATTTTCCCCACACACTTAGAATGACTTAGGCACATTGTTTCAAATAGGGGCTTGCAGAGTGAACAGCGCCACCTGGACAACATTCGAAGAAACACAAAATGATATAATAGAAGTGAAAGGGGTTAAACACTTGAATTCACAATTTTGATTTGAGCAATTCCGATTTTTTTTTTAATTGTTATTATTATTATTTATTTTTATTTTTTCCAGCTAAAAAGTTGCATACTGTGGCTTTAACTTGTTTCAACAGATTTCCTCCTCTTATTTTAAGCCAATTTTTCTTTCAGCACTGGTCAGAATTAAAAACAATTATGTGAAAGGTTACATGTGTCAAAATGACTCAAATCAAGATTGAAACTAAATTCATGTCATGCGAACCATCAGGTTTATGTGTGCGTGTGTCTGTTTACTGCATAAGTCACATTAAAGGTGCTCTGTGTTACAGATTCAAGTATCGCTCATGAAAACAGTAGACTTCATCAGGATTTGCTTTTTCTGTTTGGGAAAAATGTGAAATACTGTGAGATATTTAACAGTACACAAATCGGATATAATATTTCTAATACATAGTCCGAAACCAGGTACAGGATTACACCAGGACTAAATCAGAACTAAGAATACACCTGGTCCAGACTATTAAAAACTAAGACTTGGCAGAACTAAACCATGTTTTACCAGGGTCTAAACCAGGACTCAACCTGGACTCATCCTGATTTCACTCAGCCTGGACTGAACCAAGTCTAAACCAAGTTTACTCTCAGACTAAACCAGGTGTCACTCAAAACTAGGAATACAACGTGTAGCTAGCTCAGGAGAAAAACAAGTCTAGTAGAACTAAACCTGGTTTAAACAAGGACTAAACCAAGACTAAACCAGGTTAGAGCCTGACCATAGGCTGCTGTCTGTCCTCCTAATGTTATGGCTGATTTGTGTTTACTGAAATATCAGAGTTATTGTTTTTTTTTTTTTTTTTTTTGTGTGTTTTTTTTAAATCATTAAAATCTTTAAAATAAGAAAAAAGCAGTGCACATTTTCAAGTATCAAACGTCCAGGAGACTTGTTTATACTGCTTCACTGAGGCCGGATCAGTGTTGGGAAGAATACCTCCAAAATGTATTTCATTACAGAATACTCAATACCAGCTTTAAAATGTACAATGTCCAATCAGAATACAGAGTAAAAAAATGCAACCTGGGTTTAAACAAAGGTTGATAGTACTTAGTAACATTTACAACAGTAACATTTTTTAAGAACGCTGCTTTACTCTTACTTGAGTAATATATTGTACAGTGTAATAGTACTCTAACTTGAGTTATATATTGTACAGTGTAACAGTACTCTTGAGTACATTTGAGTAAAAGTTGTGGTTGCTCTTCCCACTGTGAGGAAGACTAAAGTAACAAAAGCTTTATGTGACAATAAGAAATGATTTGAACATTTGTGATTACTATTAATACTGTGCCATCTGAAGCTTAAACATACACTATGTAACATTTTGTAATTGCATACATGCTAGATAAATAACAAACTTTAGAACATTCCAGGCAAAGCATTAACATCTCCATGGTAACAAGCAGGTGGCTGAACCTCCATTAGAAAAGTTACATAGTGTATATTTAACTTGCATCAAATAACTGATTTTAGGAAAGTAATTGTGTTTTGAATAACACCTAAATGAAAGTGGAAGTATTCTGAATATGTATTTTTGGTACATGGTTTTTACTTCCCAACACCGTGACCTGAAGAATGAACTGTAATCAGAGGAGCCGTACAGTCACGGCCAATCACAGGAGCCGAACCGTAACAGCCAATCAGAGGAGCCAAACGGTAACAGCCAATCAGAGGAGCCGCTACAAAAATACCATTTTCAGCAGGACTTGAACTCAGTACCACCCAAAGTCACCTCTAGACCTTTAAACTTTACAATTTATCATCAATTATTCTCATAAGAAATGTTTTCAGACAAACTTTGGTACACAATTGGAAATTTCAAAATTATTACAACTAAAAAAAAAAACTGAACATTTTAAATAGCAATGTTAATGTTACAGGTTTCTTGGTGTACAACTTGTAAATAAATATTAGAACTCTACAACATGACCAAATGTGTCCTATTATTGAAATGCAGGGGGCGCTATGCTTGAATAGATTCTTCTACACCAATTGGTTATCAACATGATTTAACCTTCTTTTTCAAAACTTTTTAAATTTTCATTTCAAAACAAAAAAAATTGTACTAGATTTTACCAGGGGCCAAACTATTTAAGTGCTTATTTTTGTGGTTTCAATGTGGCGTCATTAGTATCACCAAAACAGATTGTCTTTCTGTGCACACAAAAATGTATGCGGTCGTTTTCAATTTGATTTTGTCAATTTTTTCTATAAGAAGTTAGTGCAATAATCAAATCACATTTGAGTTAACATGTGGTTCTAAAGAATATATACACACTACCAGTCAAAAGTTTGGACAAAGAAAAAAAGTTAAATAACTCAAATAAATAGTTTTTTAATTTTATATTCAATATCCAAAAAGTAGCCACCCTTTGCTTTGTCAACAGTATTGCAAACCCTTGGCCTTCTCTTAAAAAGCTTCTTGGGTAAGTCTCCTGAAATGGTTTTCACTTCTGTGCCTTATCAGAGTCAAGAAATGCAAAGCATGGTTCAAAGCAAAGGGTGGATAAAAACATTTTAAATTTTGAGGTATTGTGAGTTTATGTTTTGTTTACTACATTACATATGTGTGATTCTTAGTACTGAGGCCTTCAGTGAGCATTTACAGTGTAAATAATCATGGAAATAAAGAAGAAAAAATTAAGAAGTGTGTGTCCAAACTTTTAACTGATGGTGTATAGCAAATGAACTCTAGCATCGCTTTGCTAAATACATTTTTCAGTCATTTGATGTAACATTTAACATACATTTAACCAACAATACATTTTGATTGACCAAACTTTTGGCTTCATGATTTCAAATTTGAAATGTACACTTATTTTAAGTTTGCTCGCTTCTTTTGACCATTCCATAAGTTGATCTACTTTTTCAGTGCTCACATTAGTTGGAGTTAGAGCTGGAAGTATGTTTTGGTAGAGGCTCAGGAGATCATCTAATAACCAGAGAGTTGCAGGTTCAAATCCCTGTTTCCCCCACTTCACCTTCATTGCCTTTAAGACTTGGACATTAAACTCGTAAAAGAAAAATCAGATCATGTTTAGTGCCAGTTTGATGGACTAAAGCAAAACTACTATGTCTCACAGTCCATTGGTCCATTTTCCGAAGCTACCGTAACTTTTTATCGCTAACTGGAGCTAGCCGCAGATGTAGAGGTGATTTTGGGTTTTTAAGACATTTTTGACATTTTTATAATTTCATTTCTTACATTATCTCAGTTTAAACTTAAAAAACGCCTTAAGTTCCACGTCGACGAAGCAGGATATCTACAGACACTTTACAAACGTTGAAATTTGCACACAATTTTGCCTTTTTTTTTTTATTTACTTTCGTTTTTGCGTCTACAAGTCTGACTCGGGCATGTCGGGCATCTCCACCGTCAGGTAACCGATGCCGTAGCGTCCGTTGGGAGCTGTGTCGACCTCCGGGGGCGCTGCTGTTCCGTCAGCATCGTTAGCGTTAGCGGCGTGTTTGCGGTAGATTCCGGGCGTGGGGGAGGGCTCCTGGCTGGGGCTGTTGCCATGGATGAGGCTAGCGTCATCCACGTCTTCGGTCTGTGGTGTCTCCGCGATCATCCGTACTCTTTTGTAGGATACGGATGACAACCCGCCAGGACTGTCGTCGATGATGTTACAGAAGCGGAGTCCGAACACCACGGGAACAGGAAGGATCGCCATGACGACCAGAGAGATGCACACTACGATGCCCCACACGGGAAAAGCCAACTTCTGCTCCGCCGCCTAAAGAGAGAGAGGGTGGGGGAGAGAAAGAGATTAAGAATAGAGGGAAATTTATTTATTTATTTATTGTTAAGAAAAAAAAAATTGTTACACATGTAGATCATTATTATTTTATATTATGTTTATTGTAATTGGCAATATTGATTCAGAAATGACTTAATTTGACTTAATTATATATATATATATATATATATATATATATATTATATATATATATATATTTATATATATATTATTTTTTTTTTTTTTTTTTTTTAAATAAACAATAAGAGCCTAAAAATTTTGTCAATTTTCTGGAGAAATTATTTATGACTCCCTCCCCTTCTCCTGCCTCTCCCTTGTCTCTCCCCATCTTTGCCCCTCTTTCCCCTGCTCCTGTCACTGCTCCTGCCTCACCTATCGTCCCTCTCTCTGCCCCTCTCTCTGCCCTCTCTCTGCTCTCCTCTCTCTGCCCCTCTCTCTCTGCCCCTCTCTCTGCCCCTCTCTCTCTCTGCCCCTCTCTCTCTGCCTCTCCTCTGCCCCTCTCTCTCTCTGCCCCTCTCTCTGCCCTCTCTCTCTCTGCCCCTCTCTCTGCCCTCTCTCTCCTCTGCCCCTCTCTCTCTCCCCTCTCTCTCTGCCCCTCTCTCCTCTCTCTGCCCCTCTCTCCCCTCTCTCTGCCCCTCTCTCTCTCTCTCCTCTCTCTGCCCCTCTCTCTGCCCCTCTCTCTCTGCCCCTCCCTCTCTCTGCCCCTCTCTCCCCTCTCTCTGCCCCTCTCTCTGCCCTCTCTCTCTCTCTGCCCCTCTCTCTGCCCCTCTCTCTCCCTCTCTCTGCCCCTCTCTCTCCCTCTCTCTGCCCCTCTCTCTGTCCCTCTCTCTGCCCCTCTCTCTGCCCCTCTCTCTCTGCCCCTCTCTCTCTCTCTCTCTCTGCCCCTCTCTCTGTCCCTCTCTCTGCCCCTCTCTCTGCCCCTCTCTCTGCCCCTCTCTCTGTCCCTCTCTCTGCCCCTCTCTCTCTCTCTGCCCCTCTCTCTGCCCCTCTCTCTGCCCCTCTCTCACCTGCTCCTGGTTCCAGGCACTGTAGCTGGGAGGAGTCATGACCAATTGGATGAAGCTGGATCCAAGCAGAAGCAGGAGCAGGATCGGAGTGATGAACTTCCACATGTAATAGTAGAACCTAAACGGAGAGAATCCCAACATGTCCCGAAGGTCTTCAAAAAACCTAAACACAAAAGCACACAAAATATTAGATCTACAGGTCCTCGAAAAACCTAAACACAAAAACTAAATAACACATTATATTAGAGCTAAAGGTCCCTGAAGAACCTAATCACAAAAACACACAAAATATTACATTTACAGGTCCTTGAAAAACATCAACAGAAAAACACAAAATATTGGAGCTGCAGATCCTCGAAGAACCTAAACACAAAAACGAAATAACACATGATATTAAATCTTCAGGTCCTTAGAGAGACTGTACAAAAACAATATTAGAGTGGGGACTAAACACCTAAACGCCACCTACAGGTACATTTCAAATAGAGTTGAGAGAGATGGACTAAAGGGGGGTGTCAGGGGGAGAAGGGGAGAGGAGGGGCAAGGTAAGAAGGTACATAAGGAATAGTGTGATTGGTTAAATACTTTAAACTCCATCCCTGCAGCCAGGTAATCTTGTAATCAGAAACACCAGGCTGATGTCATGTAGTACTTGAAATTGCAGAGGCCACTGAAGGCAGCACAAATTTAAATTTAGTTGGTTTTTAGCAGAAAGCTGCAAATTTAACTAGTTTAAACAAAACTGACAAAAACTAGGAACAGTAGATGCTATTGAAGTGTGTCTCACTTGTCGATGCCATAGACCCAAACCACAGCTACATTCTCCAGGATCACCACGATGAGCAGGGGCAGAGTGACAGTGTAGCTGTCAAACATGGCCACAAAGTAGTTCCCTGATCTCTGAACAAACATAAGTCCGATGGAAAAGGCCAGGACACAGCAACCCACTGTAGAGACAGAGAGAAGAAATTTTTAACAACATATATACTAGTATGAGAGAGAGAAAGAGAGAGAGGAAAAGAGAGAGAGGGAGAGTGAAAGATCAATAAATGTAGTCCAACGTCTAGTCCCCAGTTTAGTCCTAGTTCAGTCCCAACTCAGTCCTGGTTCAGACCCAGTTCAGTACCTGTGAACAGCTCCTTCCGGACTTTGAAGGTGTCGATGAGTGGAGTGAGAATTCCCTCAATGATTCCGAACATGCTTCCGAGCCCCAGGTTCACCAGCATCAGGAAAAACATGACGGACCAAAACGGAGAGGCCGGGAAGTGTGTCATGGCCTCTGTGAAGGCGATAAAGACCAGACCTGTGCCCTGAACAGTCTGAGGAGAGAAGAGAGGGAGGAGAGAGGAGAGGGGAGAGAAGAGGAGAGAGAAGTGAGAGGAAAGGGTTAAACAGAGGAGAGAGAGCGAGGCATTCTGACCACACCGCTGTCTGGCAGGGGACCAAGCCCCCAGGTTCCAAAATGGCCGCCCATTCAAGTCAATGGGCTGAGCTCAATGGCGCATGATCCCAGATTAGCCTAGCCCGGCTAGGTACTTCCGGTGGCCGTGGGCCGACCGAGCATGCGCAGTAGTGCTCTTTTCTCCCACGGGCACACGCGAATGCACGCGACCACACGCACGGAGCGCGGGCTCGTGTATCACGTGATCGCTTTGACCAATCAGAGCGAGAGGAACGAGAGCGGAGCAGAGCGGAGCCGGAGCTAACAGATATAAAGCGTTTTTTTAAGACAACTGAAGGATTTTGAGCGAGAAAAAGTTTATGATCTAAAAATAGGTAAAAATCGCCACAAAATCCGACATTTTTGAAAGTTGTAGGTGCCCTGTCAGCCGAACACGAGCAGGTTGTGATTACATTGCCTCTATGAGAAAAATCTTCTCTCGGCCCATGGGATTTTTTCGACTGTAGAACCACTGAGTGACACTACGTCAACTCGAGGCAGCTACAAGCAGCAATACTGTATCCAGTTATTTTAATAGATCCATGCAGGGGACGGGCACTTAGCAATGCTGTCAATCAAACATGTTGCTAACACTAGAGGGACTCTGGGAAAGAGGGCACCTGATTTGTCTGTTACTGACATAAACTGTATAAAAAAGTGAACTAAGCGAGTGTTTTCTGACAAACAAAATAGCGGGAAAAAAACTCATCAGGATCGCGTAGAGCGGATTAATACAAACATTTTAAGACAAAAATGCTGAGGCTCACAGCAGCAGTTACAGAGAGAGAGGCAGCAGTGTTCCAAACAAAGTCAATGGAAACCAGGGTCAGAAGGAGCCTGAAAAGCCCACATTCGAACTTCCTGTTTGGAAAAGGGCAGCTAGTGAATTAGCTATGCCCATTCATATACAGTCTATGGTTCTTAAGGTCTTGATTTAGGTACAAAATAGTGAAATGAAAACCACAGAGATAGAAGGGGAATGTTTTTTTTCTACAGAAAGTGAATTGGAGCTAATGGATGGAGCCAAAATGCTCCCATGCTCACTTTCTATTCTATTCTTGATGTATTTGTGTGTATATTTGTGTGTGTATATTAGTTGTACCTGGTTGAGCTCCTTCTCGATGCTGCAGGTCTCCAGTCCCAGTTTGCTGAAGTCATCCTCCTGCACAGCTCTGATAACAGAGATTATTTGGTGGTAGTCCTCTGCAGTGACAGTCTCTGGAGCCGACAGGTTTATGTGATGAGGGATCAGACTGGCCTCGATACGTGTGCCCAGGAGGGACACAACGCGGTTTGTGTTTCTGCAACAACAACATGACAAATGTTTAACAAGCAATTGGATCAAATGAATTGTTTACATGTCAATTAGTATTTTTGGTATGCTCCATCTAAAGGATTTATTGGTGCTAATATCAGTATTGGAGATATTCTGTCTTTTAGAATTTGTCTGATATCAAAATCAGAGCCTATAAAAATTTGCTTAAGAACTAAGTGATTATATTACACACTTCTCATTCATGGTATTGTGTGAAAATGTGCTGTTGTTGATCTGTGTAGATTTCAGTTTTTTTACTCACGTGGCAACACATTTATCGTTCATGATGTTGGCCTTGAACCCCAGCACAGCGAAGACGACCAGCGTGGCCAGAACAGAAGTGAAGAAGTTTATGAAAGAGACAAGCACGGCATCGAAGTGACAGTTATTGTCTCGTTTGTTATAGCTAGAAAACGCAATGACACCTCCGAATCCCAATCCCAGAGCGAAGAAAACCTGACTTGCTGCGTCCCTCCACGCCATAGGGTCCGCCATGACGTCTATCTGAGGAGAGAAAGGTTCAGAGTTTTCAATCAATCAGTTGTCCAAGAGGGGCTTAAGCTTGTTGAGCAATAAAATACCATAATAGAAGGGCTGAAAAATGTAACATAAATATTTTTTAAAGTTTAAAAATTGCTCAGTGTACCAGCCAGTCGGCCACAAAGACCAGTCAACCACAACCATGGCAACCACAGACGGTTTAGACCTGGTTTAGTTCTGGGATAGTCCTGGTTTAGTACCTGTGGAGTAAACATGTGCTTGATCCCATCCACAGATCCTTTGAGAAGAAGAGCCTGGACCAGGAAACAGATCAGGACCACGTACGGGAACAGGGAGCTGAAGTACATCACCTGAAAAAACACAGGAAATTACCACTCTCACCTCGCAGTAAGAAGGTCCCAGGTTAGATTCAGACATTTCTGTTTGACTGTGCATATAACTGAAAGGTTTTCATTCCGCACTCTTCTCTAATTTAGGTCTCTCTTTTTTTTTTCTTTTTTTTTTTAATCTTTATGATTATTTATGTCTTGATTAGTTTTTATTATGATTTTAATGTATTTCTTATTCTGTAAAGCACTTTGAATTACTTTGTGTGCGAATTGTGCTGTACAAATAAGGCAATGTGGGTGAAGTGCTTTGCCCAAGGAGAGCCCAAGTACTAACCAGGCCCAGCCTCAATCAAATGAGATTGGGCATTGACAAAGAGGTAGGGCCACTATTTTTGAAGCTTTTCAGATTATTGCCATCACCTCTCCTTCAGCACACTGTTCTAGAGGGTATAACAATAGCAAGATGAAAAAAAGCTACCTTTCTGAAGTTGGCCTATATGGTGTTCTTTAGATGGTATAGTCAGTACATATTTAGTTCCTTTCTGGTGGACTAGATGTTCTATTGATACTTTGCAGCAGATGTCATCAATATTCTCTGGGGGTGTGACGCTAACTGAAAGCCACAGCTGTTAAAAGCTTTGTTACTCAAGTTAGACTTTATTTTATTTTGGCACAATCTGACCAGAAAGGGGTAACTTGGTTGGAACTACAAAGGTAAGCTGATTTATTCGTTTAAACAAGTCCCTTTTTCTTGAACATCAAACACCTAAACAGGACCATGAGTGCTTATATTAATGACAGGCTCCTGGAGATGTCTTGTCCATTTTGTATTTTTTGTGAAACAATGAACAATTGTGAAAATGCACTCCTTTCACAATTTTATTATTACCAACCACCCCAAACTGAGAATGTCCCTGTTCTTCATTTTGAAATTCTGGTCACCCTAGTTTAGTACCTTTCTGTAGGCCTAGATATTCCATGGTATTGTCATTACAGTTGTATTTAGTACCTTCCCAGAGGACTATGTTCTATAGTAGGCCTACTGTATATTTTAGTAGTCTGGAGAACTGTATGTTCTATAGATGTTTTTTAAGTTCATTAGTGTCATTCTAGTACCTTCCCAGAGGAGACATTACAGTAGTATATTTTCAGTACCTTTCGCAGAGGACTGTGTGTTTTATAAACAGTATAATATTGTGTGATTGTAGTACCTTCCCGGAGGACAGGTCATCAAACTAAGGCCCGTGGGCTGACTCCGGCCCTCCATGCCCCTTTGAAGTATTTATATTTAAATAATTATCCAAGGTATTATATTTAAATTATTATACGATGTATTACATTTAAATTATTATACGATGTATTATATTTAAATTATTATATGATGTATTTACATTTGCTGCCGACTTTTCATCACCTGACAAGTTTGAGATCAAACAGCAAAATGGCTTGTGTGAAAGTACGAAAAGTTGACAGGGACAGGGAGTGCCGAGTTTTCAACAACAATGAAAGTGTAAGGACAGTGCAGTTTATCTGATATATATATATATATATATATATATATATATATATATATATATATATATATATATATACACATATATGTCGGTTTTCAAAGAATATAATCTGCGTCGTCAGGGTAAAACAATTCTGTTATACAGCTGACCCAACCCCGGCCCCTCATCACAGTCAGGAATGATAATGTGGCTCCCAGAGAAAAAAGTTTGGTGACCCCTGATTGATGGTCAGTACATTAGTCTGATTTAGTACCTTCGCCAAGGACTGTATGTTCTACTAGACAGAAAAATTTTGTGTGATTCTAGTACCTTCCCGGAGGACTGTATGCCCTTGATCATGGCCAGGCAGACCATGGTCCATGCAGCCAGCAGACACAGGGTCATCTTCCAGTTGAGACCTCCGCTCTCTGAAATACTGTCGGAGATGTCCAGAGCCTCGCGGTACCAGTAATATGTGGCGGCCGAACTCTTATCACATTCAGGGACCACATCTGAGGAGAGAGATGAAGGGGGATGAAAGAGAGGGGAGGCAAGAAGGGAGAGGGGGGGGAAGGGGGATTATTGTCAGTTTACTTATGTTAAATTGGTCTATGAAATTTCAAAAGATTAGTTTTGTTCTGAAACCAATGCAGGTATCGGCAAAAACTCTGATTAAGCACATTTTGCAGCAGCTGGTACTCAAACCAATTCACAGAACCAATACCATACTGTATTCTAAAGAAGGACAAGTAGAGTTGCAGCTGTTTGCCTCATGAAGCTACTGCTATGGCTAATGGCCAGAGCATCTCGAACACAAACTGTAGTGGCTCTTCAGACACTGGTGTAGATTTGTTTTAACACTCGCAGATGCAGTATGATAAACTCACAGGTAGAGGTACTCTTCTGTATGGTGTAGATCTTGTATTAACACTTGTAAGTGTAGCGCTACATACTCTCAGGTGTAGATGTCCTGTGTAACACTCACACCGGTGTAGATTTGTTTTAACACTCACAGGTGTAGGTCTCGTTCTTGACCAGAGGACACTCATGCCAGGGCAGAGGCTGCTGGAACGACTGAGAGAAGTAGAACAGGCTCCAGCCAATGATCACATTGTAGTACAATGCCCCAAAGAAGCACACCTGAGGAAAGACAGACAGGTGAAGTTGACAAGTGAAGCACAGGTCAAAGCACTACACATTGCATTATTAATTCACTCCACACTCAGAAACTATTGTAGCCATAGCTGCCCTGGGACGGACTGACAGAGACGAGGCTGCCAGTATGCACCAAACGCCAACAGACTACATTCATACTTAGAAATGTGTGTGAAGTATTTTGCCTAAAGACATGACAACAGTTTGCACTAGAGTCACTGCTGTCCCACTATGGCACCTCGTATTCCAGCAGCCTCCCATCCAACCAGGCCTGGCCCGCTTATCTTCTGAGTAGTAGTATTTGCAGTAGGAGTAGCAGTGGCAGTGACAGAAATTATCTGTGTACTTACCACACAGCTGTAGTAGTAGTAGTAGTATTAATTTATCTGTGTACTTACCACACAGCTGTAGTAGTAGTAGTAGTATTAATTTATCTGTGTACTTACCACACAGCTGTAGTAGTAGTAGTAGTATTAATTTATCTGTGTACTTACCACACAGCTGGCAAAGCCAATTCCTCCTAGTCTGGGGCTGATATAGTTCCAGATGCCGATGCTGCCACGGCGAAACCTCTGCCCCACAGCGAGCTCCAGGAAGAAAACAGGGATCCCAATGAGGATGAGCAGGATCAGGTACAGGACCAGGAACGCTCCTACAGTACAGAGATGTATAAACTCATGAGCCAAAACGATACTACCAGAAGGATCAGGTAAGGAACGTTTTTGTTTGGCTTGATCATTCCACTGTATGGCATTAAATGTATCTATCCATGGAGACAACCAGGTCAAATTATAGGGAAGCCCTTTCACTGTTCAAATTCATGTTTTTCAAGGTAATTCCACAATAAAACTCATCTGTAACTGAATAAATACAAGATAGATAACCTCAATGCCATATTGTGGAACATTTACAGCTCAGTAATAACACTTCTATAAAGACAAGCAAGTGGCAGACCCCTCACCAGAAAAGTTACAGAATACACCTTTAACTTTACTTGATAATTAGAAATGAATAGAAGTTAAAAAAAAAAACACAAATATCATCAGCACAAACTCACTACAAGTGTGAGTCATGAAGAGGCACATTCACTTCCAGGAAAATCTGATGTGAAACCACAAATACACACACACACACAAGTGTCAGGTGCCCTCCCTCTGTCTACATGATGTGATGATGTGTTATTAAGATGCTGCCCCTGCATATTGGACCTCTACAAACATGTTCTGAAATTCATGGGATTCTTAGATTAGTTTAAGGTTCCGATTGCTGTCTCTGAATTTGAAAACATATATATGCAAAACATTTCAGAAAACTCTGTGTTTTGTAAGTGGTTCAGCTATTGCTTTTATATTGCTTTGAGAAACTTTTTTTTTTTTAAATAAACAGCAGCTCTAAACTCATGATCAAACTAAATTGTCTTTGTTTTAATAATGCCCACTGGACATTCACAGGATCACACTCAGTAACAGTAACAATAGGTCTATAGTTTCATGTTTTTAGAATTCTGAATTCTTGGCTTGGTGTTATAGTATCTGTGGTAAATATTTATCACAGTTTTACATCAGTTAAATGGAAAAGGTTGAGAAGAAAAGTACAAAAATACAGGAAGTAGCACTGAGTTCTAAAACAGAATCTTTCTACCTATGTTATCAACAAATGTCATCCTTCCAAATTTCAGGGGGAGAGGAAGGGAGGAGAAAGAGAAGAGAGAGAAGGAGAGAGGGGTGGGAGAGACAGGAGACAGGGAGAAAGAAACAAAGCGAGAGATTGAGTTAAAACAATATCAGGAGCACACACACAAAACAGGAGGGAGAGAGTGATGAAAGAGACTAGAGAGAGTCTAAACGATATGACAAACACACAAAGTATAAAAGAGAGAGAGGGGGGAGGAGAGAGAGATAGAGGGGAGAACACAGCAAGAGGCAGAGGACGGAGCAAGAAGTTAAATGATAGTTTTTGATGCTATTTTTAAGCATCAGCTTAATCTTTAACTAATATTTTCAGTTTGAGTGTGTGCATAACACAGAACTCCAGGTATGTTTTTCATGAAGGAATTACATAAATTGGCGAAGAATGAAGAATGAAGAAGAAAAGCCACAGTATTATCATTATTATTCACTCTTCACTGGTGGTGGTTAAGACAGTCCTGTAGCCACAGCTGTAGCCATGGCAGGCCAATGGAAACAAGGCTGCCAATCTGTGCCCTCAGACCATCTGACCACCACCAGCGCTCAGCACATTCATGGGTGGAAGTGTCTTGCCTGCGGACACAACTACAATATGAATTGGTCGAAGCCAGGATTGACGTGTTGACCTTTGGGTTAATGGGTGAACGCTCCAACCCTCGAGCTACTGCTGTCACGTTTAAAGGGACTGTACTTTTTTTTTTTTTTTTTTAATTGTAGTTAAATAAATTTAGTTTTGTCCAGAACAGATATATTGTACAAGCAGTGGCCTGTCTGTACTGTCTACATAAAAAGAAAGCATTTTATCATCCACAAACCAGGAAGTGCAATGTTAGTATGATACATGTTGTTACCAGTGCTGTGATGCTCAAGCTACGCTGTGAAAAGTGCTTATAAACTCATCATGGTGAATAACTAGAATGCTCTGAATGCATAAGGTAAGTGAGGAGTAACTTTGGACCACTGCAAACTGCTTAAAATGAACTTGTTCTATTTTTCACGTTTAAGACTGCATAATAGTAAATTCTCACCTCCTCCGTACTTCTGGCAGAGATAGGGAAATCTCCAGACATTCCCAAGCCCCACGGAGAATCCCACCTGAGCCAGGATATATTGCAGTTTACTGTTCCAGGCTGGACGCTCCTCCTCCTCGTCTGATCCCGCCTTCTCCACGTCCTTGGCCCCGCACACCGGCCCATCACCGTTGACGATCAGCGCGGCCTTCTTAAAGGATTCTTCGGTGCCATCTTCATTGGAGTGAAGATCACGGGCAGACTCTGTGGCGTCATCGTCCGAGTCGCCTCTCTTCACCGACTTACTGCTTTTGGGCATTGGGCAGGAGCTCATGTCCAAATAAGGTAAGGTGGGAGGGGCACAGGAAACAGGAAGTGAAACGGATAGTGTAGAGACGGGGCAGAGATGGAATCAGTCTTTTTAAATGAAGTTGTTGAAAAAGGAGAGAGAAGGGCGTGGCTTATTTGCAAGTTTTCACCTCAGACCTGTCACACACAGAGGAGACATAGTAAGTGACATTAAGTTTAATATCTTCTCTGTTTAGGTCTTTGCTGTTCACTTGATTTGAATAATAAATTATTCCTTTAAAAAATTACAAAATATTTGTTATGCATGATATGTGAGCTCAATTAACTAAGATGAAATATTTTTCTCATAATTCTATCAAAAAGATGCAATTACTGTGAAAAAACTAAAAGTATATGGACAGGCCATATCTCACGTGAAAGCTCAGAACCTCCAGAATTCCCTTAATGAGCTGAAGAGGCTGCACTAGCACTGAGTCATGACTGGCTGCATGTGCTGGGGTTTAGGGAGTGACCATTCAGATCAGACAGAGGCATTTTAAGTTTAAAGGTTGTATGGAGGATTTTTTTTTTTGTTTCAAATTGTCAATGAAAGTTTTAAATATCATTACAGAGACGCAGCAGCTTTGTAATTATGATGACCAAAAAAAAAAAGAATGAAAATCCATCAACTGTGGACGTCGTGAGGCCAGATAAACATCAGCCAATAGAAAACGAGGCTCCCTCTTTATCTATTGGCTGTTAGGTTGTCAGTCAAACTCCCTACGTTTCTAGTGTAACTGAGTCGCCGGCGTGTGGGGATTACGTGGTTTATGCGGCGGTTCTTAGAGGCTTTTTCAAACTTTAGCTTCCTCGCAGTTCGTACAAAGTTTGTCGCGACGGCGGACGAGAATCCACGACCAGTTCGCCGCAAAAGAAAGTTCATTTTTGAGGTCGCTGAAAGAAGAAGAGAAGGAGCGAAGACAAACTGAGGTGATTCTTGGAGATTCCTTGCAGCGACGGCGCGACTGAAGCAGACGAAGTGACGCGTCGGTCACTAAATTATTACAGGTCACTTCAACAGTAATTCTGAACACGCATTGGCTGGAAACAAATGTGATTTCTAGAGTAAAGCGGCGGGAGGAGATGTTTCTACTGATGGAGATGTGGAGGACGAAGGTGGTGTCACGCATGCACAACATTTGAAAAAGAACTGTCGCTGTATTTCTCTTTCCTTAAAAAATCCTCTATACAACCTTTAAACCAACTGGATTTCAGCATTGAAACTCAAATGATTTCTGCTTCCTGATTGGATAATCCTCTTGAGAACCAAAATTATAACATAAACAGCATGGTCATCTTATCAATGGGTTTGGAGTTAAGGTCAAGGGTATATTTCCTCTGTTATTTCTGGCCATTTTTGTTTTATAATTGAGTTGTTTTGTAAGTGTTGCTGTACTTACTGTTACGCAGATAAAAAAGTGCGACCTACTCTGTGAAATCTACTCTGTAAAGTCTCCTCTGTGAAGTCTACTGTTTGAAATCTTTGTACGATTTGCTCTGTGTCAAGCTCAGCTAAATGTGCCTTTTCCGTTAAGCGATATGTGATTTTCGATTTGTGATTTGCGATTTGCCTACTCTTATAATCTCCCCGAGGCCAAACAAAGCTTCGAGTTAAAACCCACAAAGCTTTGAAGTTTAGCTTTGAGTTCCGGAGTTGCCATGGTAACAAGGCTTTATGGAACTTTACATGTATGATGTCATCGGCGCCGTGAACCTGATGGAACTGGGAGGTTTTCAGGTTCTAGAACGTGATGATGTCATACTCCCAGACGGGGCAAGAGCCACGTTTCCCTGTTGACTGAGGCCGAGTGTTGTTAAGAAGTCACTGATATGAGACAAACCTCGATACAGTGCGCTTTCCATTCGATACGGTTCAGTAAAAAATAAAGGCTAAATCATGGAAAATCTTTGTTAAACCACTTCTTGTGCAAAGTTCATATGAAACACAAACATTTTAATCCTCAAAACAGCGAAAATGTCAAACGAGTTTCCTTCCACTAAACAAACAACGAAACTGTAGCTGTAACAAAATCATTTAGTAAAATAAACCAAAAATACTCTTGGTGATATATCGATAGAGCAGCCCACAATATCGATACTGTGTCATCACATTAAACGATACGATATATCGATATTTCAATATTTTTGCACACCCCTCTACTCTTTATCACACGAAGACCACAGTTCTTTAGTTTAAGGTCATGGTTTAAGGTCAAGGGTATATTTCCTCTGTTATTTCTGGCCATTTTTGTTTTATAATTGAGTTGTTTTGTAAGTGTTGCTGTACTTACTGTTACGCAGATAAAAAAGTGCGACCTACTCTGTGAAATCTACTCTGTAAAGTCTCCTCTGTGAAGTCTACTGTTTGAAATCTTTGTACATTTGCTCTGTGTCAAGCTCAGCTAAATGTGCCTTTTCCGTTAAGCGATATGTGATTTTCGATTTGTGATTTGCGATTTGCCTACTCTTATAATCTCCCCGAGGCCAAACAAAGCTTTGAGTTAAAAGCCCACAAAGCTTTGAAGTTTAGCTTTGAGTTCCGGAGTTGCCATGGTAACAAGGCTTTATGGAACTTTACATGTATGATGTCATCGGCGCCGTGAACCTGATGGAACTGGGAGGTTTTCAGGTTCTAGAATGTGATGATGTCATACTCCCAGACGGGGCAAGAGCCACGTTTCCCTGTTGACTGAGGCCGAGTGTTGTTAAGAAGTCACTGATATGAGACAAACCTCGATACAGTGCGCTTTCCATTCGATACGGTTCAGTAAAAAAATAAAGGCTAAATCATGGAAAATCTTTGTTAAACCACTTCTTGTGCAAAGTTCATATGAAACACAAACATTTTAATCCTCAAAACAGCGAAAATGTCAAACGAGTTTCCTTCCACTAAACAAACAACGAAACTGTAGCTGTAACAAAATCATTTAGTAAAATAAACCAAAAATACTCTTGGTGATATATCGATAGAGCAGCCCACAATATCGATACTGTGTCATCACATTAAACGATACGATATATCGATATTTCAATATTTTTGCACACCCCTCTACTCTTTATCACACGAAGACCACAGTTCTTTAGTTTAAGGTCATGGTTTAAGGTCAAGGGTATATTTCCTCTGTTATTTCTGGCCATTTTTGTTTTATAATTGAGTTGTTTTCTAAGTGTTGCTGTACTTACTGTTACGCAGATAAAAAGTGCGACCTACTCTGTGAAATCTACTCTGTAAAGTCTCCTCTGTGAAGTCTACTGTTTGAAATCTTTGTACGATTTGCTCTGTGTCAAGCTCAGCTAAATGTGCCTTTTCCGTTAAGCGATTATGTGATTTTTGATTTGTGATTTGCGATTTGCCTACTCTTATAATCTCCCCGAGGCCAAACAAAGCTTTGAGTTAAAGCCCACAAAGCTTTGAAGTTTAGCTTTGAGTTCCGGAGTTGCCATGGTAACAAGGCTTTATGGAACTTTACATGTATGATGTCATCGGCGCCGTGAACCTGATGGAACTGGGAGGTTTTCAGGTTCTAGAATGTGATGATGTCATACTCCCAGACGGGGCAAGAGCCACGTTTCCCTGTTGACTGAGGCCGAGTGTTGTTAAGAAGTCACTGATATGAGACAAACCTCGATACAGTGCGCTTTCCATTCGATACGGTTCAGTAAAAAATAAAGGCTAAATCATGGAAAATCTTTGTTAAACCACTTCTTGTGCAAAGTTCATATGAAACACAAACATTTTAATCCTCAAAATAGCGAAAATGTCAAACGAGTTTCCTTCCACTAAACAAACAACGAAACTGTAGCTGTAACAAAATCATTTAGTAAAATAAACCAAAAATACTCTTGGTGATATATCGATAGAGCAGCCCACAATATCGATACTGTGTCATCACATTAAACGATACGATATATCGATATTTCAATATTTTTGCACACCCCTCTACTCTTTATCACACTGTACTTTGCCACGAAATATCCAAAAGGTAAACGCACAAATGTTAAACCTGGTATTGAAATGATTCAAAAACTCACTGTTAGAAAACAATGGCCACGTTCACATGATGGTCCTCGCCCACTAACACAGTTAGGGGTGAGGGGTATTGTTCTTCGTCGGTTTCTTCTTATTGGCCCAGGCCTGTCACGTCCACAGGCATTGTCCTAGAGAACTCAAATTCAAATCACAATTGTGTGATCCAGACCTGAATGTAATGAAATATGAAATTTAATAAAAGTGAACTCTATAGCGCCCCCTAGCATAGACATGAAACATCAACATTATCGGATTTGTACCAAATTCGGGAATAAAATTCTATGCATGATTACAAGCAAAAAAGTCCATTACGGACATGGGGCATTTTTCACTGTTGGCCAGCAGGGGCGCAAAGACTCCCCAAAAAAATTGTTAAAAATTTATTACACCCACAGGCTTAGTCCAATCGTGCTGAAATTTGAGTCATTAATGTGTGATCACGGCCTGAATATAATACACTATAAAGTATATGAAAAGTGAACTCTATAGCGCCCCCTACCATAGACATGAAACGTCAACATTATCGGATTAGCACCAAATTTGGGAATAAAATTCTATGCCTGATTACAAGTAAAAACGTTTATTATAGACATGGGGTATTTTTCACAGTTGGCCAGCAGGGGCGCAAAGACTCCCCCCAAAAATAGTTAAAAAATGATTACATGCCCATGTTTTATCGGATCGCGCTGAAATTTGAATCAATAATGTGTGATCTCAGCCTGAATATAAAAACACTATAAAAATATATGAAAAGTGAACTCTATAGTGCCCCCTACCATTGACATGAAAAGACAACATTATCAGATTAGCACCAAATTTGGGGATTAAATTCTACGCATGATTACAAGCAAAAAAGTCAATTAAGGACATGATGCATTTTCCACAGTTGGCCAGCAGGGGCGCACAGACTCCCCCAACAAATAGTTAAAAAATTATTACACACACAGACTTAGTTCGATTGTGCTGAAATTTGAATCACTAATGCCTGATCACGGCCTGAATATAATACACTATTAAGTATATGAAAAGGGAACTCTATAGCGCCCCCTACCATAGACATGAAACGTCAACATTATCGGATTTGTACCAAATTCAGGGAATAAGTTCTATGCATGATTATGAGCAAAAAAATATATAACGGGCATGGTGCATTTTCCACGGTTGGCCAGTAGGGGCGCAATGACTCCTCTGAAACATTTAAAGGTACACTGTGTAATTTTTATGGTGGACGAGCTGTCGGCCTCGGGAGCTGTCGGGAAGAGAGGGTGGCGTGCCGGGGCGGTCGCGAGTCCCCGGAGGTCGCGTGGGGGGGCGGTGCGCGCCCGGGGCGAGGGCCACCATCGCCGCGCGCGGCTTTAATAGAATTTAATTCCCAAATTTGGTACAAATCCGACAATGTTGACGTTTCATGTCTATGGTAGGGGGCGCTATAGTGTTCACTTTTCATATGTTTTATAGTGTATTATATTCAGACTGAGATCACACATTAGTGATTCAAATTTCTGCACGATCGGACTAAGTCTGTGCGAACAGGAGCAAATAATGTCACCTTGAAATTTAGGCGAAATTTTGATCAAAATTTGCGGCCTCACCGCACGTAAACCGTGACAGTTATCAAAAAAAATCAGATAACTTTAGATGTTCCACTTGTCTAGATGATGTACGGTGATTTTCAGCCCTGTGGGTGAAGCGCCTTCAGAGGAGTTCGTTCAAACGCAACGTCAGCGAAAATGCGGACTCAAAAATCAATCCAAGATGGCCGCCTTCTGGTTTGTCAGGGGGTGTGGCCATAATAATATTTTTTGTTTGTCTTCACATGATGAATGTGTGTACCGAATTTCGTGGCTCTATGACAAAAATGACCGGGACATCTCCCATAGGAGCCAAATTTTTTGAGTCTTTGCGCCCCTGCTGGCCAACAGTAAAAAATTCGCCATGTCCATAATATAATTTTTTGCTCGTAATCATGCATAGAATTTAATTCCCAAATTTGGTGCAGATCTGATAATGTTGACATTTCATGTATACGGTAGGGGGCGCTATAGTGTTAATTTTTCATATGTTTTATAGTGTATTATATTCAGACTGAGATCACACATTAGTGATTCAAATTTCAACACTATCGGACTAAGTCTGTGCGAACAGGAGCAAATAATGTCAACTTCAAATTTGTCATTTGTTTGGACCATCTCGCTGGATGGTCACCCAAGCGCCTGACCTCCATTGACTTCCATTCATTTTAGCAGTAGTAAATATGAGCCAGGCTTGGGCGTGGGTTACTGGATTACTGCTGTTCGTGCCGGGGCGACCGTGGACATAGTTGCATGTCGTCTTGTCGCATTCGGACATGTGCACGTCGCTCCCCATTCGCTCCGCTGAGCGGAAGCAATAGGCCCTACGCCCTGTCGGGGCTCGGGCCTAAATATTCTCCTTCGAGAATAATGTTCCGCTTTTTTTTGGCCGACAAACTATACATTTTCGGAAACCTCTGGCGCATTGGTACGTGATGGCGAGGGTCCCTGGTCACTACGGGCGAGTCACGTCATTTT